ATATATATATAATTATATTTTATTATCTATGAAAATATTGTTTTTTTCACTATTATTTGATAACGATGTTTTTTTTTATTATCTAGGTACATATTGTTTTTAAAGTTTTATTTAGATTTGGAAAAAATGCGCATTACATGAAAAACTTACTAGTTATAGAAGTTTTGAATCACAACTCTACTACTCAACCAAACTTCTGGGAGAATCTAAACACTTAAGGGAATAAATAGGAGAAGAATAAAACTCTCAATCATTAAAGTGTCTCCCTCTAACTTCTCTCTAACATCTTTAAGAAAATGAAGTTACAAAGGCAACTTCTTAAGAAAAAAGCCTTATATGCCCTTTCTTATTGGGTAACTTGACTTCTGTTCAAAGTAACTCCCGAAACAACATAACTCATTAGGATCTCTAAACCCTTAGAGTTCCACAACAACTAAACAACTAATCACAACAACAAATAAAATAATAATAAAAAAAAATTACAAGATCAGTGTTACACCCATACCCCACATTGACTATAAATAAAACAATTAAAGAGATTATAAGTTAGTAGCAATCTTAACTTTTACACGTCAATTTTGTAAGGTTAAGTTAAATCCAAATTCACTATCTAAGATGGTATCATAATTATATAAATATACTTTAAAAGAATCATCTACCATTGATACACGTATCAAATCCAATAATGTTAGACGTGATGGTTGTATTAGGAAAAAACAAATTTTATATCGATTAAAGATAAGACAAATAAAAACTTTATAAATGGGGGATAATTTTCACCTTATAATATGATTTTGTAGAGTTAAATTAGATCTATAACCTACGTTTTAAAGACACTTTAATTAAGACTTTTTATAAGAATAAATTGATTGATAATTTATAATTTAAAAATGTGTTTTGGCATTTTAATTATTTCAAGGACTAATTTGATCATTTACTATAATTTTAGGAAATAACTCAATTAATAATATATAATTTCAACAACATTTATTAATTTTATGGCCTAATCTAATGACCACTACACATTTGTTCTTATAATTACCTCTTAAATCTTTATTTTTTTAAATTATTTTTATTTAGTTTTTCTTTTTTTACTTTTTAAAACTATTTAAAACTACCTTATAATTAAAACTACTCAACTACGACAAATCCTCTAATAATAATAATAATAATAATAATAATAATAATTTATTATTATTATTATTATTTTGAAAAAATAAACGAAGACACGAAGTTCTTTTTTTAATGCTCATATCAAATGGAGATAATTAAACAAATAATATTTTTAAAATTCAGTAAGAAATCAAGAAATTAAATTATTAAAAGATACACATCATGTACTTATATATTATGTCGAATTTTAAAATTTTAAAATTTTAAAACCAATTTTAAATTGGGACCGATTAATACTATACTAATTTTTAAATTAAAATTTCTTAATAAAATATTTTATTTTATTTATAATAAATCATGATTTTCAATTTAAATTAAATATTAAATTATACTTTTAATCCCTCTATTTTTGTTGATCTATAATTTTGATCTCTCTATTTTAAAATACAAAATTTTGATTATTCCGTCACATTAACATCTATTAATGGTTCAATTTTAATGTTCACTCATACTTAAATGATATATAATTTAATAACATAACATTTGGATATAAAAATAATATTCAAATAAAATCTACTAATAAAATAAATATCAATTACTCATTAATATATATATATATATATATATATATATATTTTTATTTTTATGGCTACATATCGTGTCAATAAATATCATGTGTATTTAAGTGATGATAAGTCATCAAACAATGTTAAAATTTAATGATTGATGAACATTAAATCGACAAGATCAAAATTTCATATTTTTAAAAGAGGAAGATTTATTTATTCCAAGAGTACGTTTATTTAGACTTATTTTACTCAATAATTCATATTTGACATTAAATTTTAATAATTCAATCGATGAATTAAAAGTTCTTAATTTTATAATTTTTTTAAAAAATTAAAAATTATTTAATATTCCATTCATCGATTCAAATTGACAAATAATCATAAATTTCAAATAAAAGGACCAAAAGTACAGTATGACTTAAATCATATTAAAATTTAAAATAAAACCTAAAGGAATAAAAATTTACACCACTAATGTAAAGAAAAGAAAATAGTCTTCGTTAAAAAAAAGCTAAAATTGGTAATAGCACCTTAACTGGATATCTTTTTAAAAAAAACTCATGCGAAGTTTATTTGTAAAAGTAAAAGTGAAAAATTGTGGGGCGCGTAATTTAACATAATTTGATTAGAATTAGAGCCAAAAAAAGTTGTAGTATTTATTGAGGAAAAAATCAGGAGTGACGTATGGATAGGAATCGCACTACGTAGCAGTGGCGGCCAAGAATAGAGATTAGAGGCTAACTCACTTTCCATGCCATTGCCTTACTCAACATTTAACACCTTTTCCTTATAGCCTTCGTACCTCTTAACCTACCCATTCATTTTCCTACATCTTCTACCCATACTTGCTCATTTCTTTGTTCCTGCTAATTCTAAGTAAATAATTTATTAAATTCATCCCTATGTATACAAATATTATTGGTTTGACGTGCCATCATGCGTTGATTCTTTTACACGTTCTTGATTAAGTCTTAATATGCAGAGACAAAGGAATTAATTAAAGGTATCATCTATAGAGTCACTAAAGTCAATTGGAGTAGTACGCTTATAATTTTAAATTTGAGCCATAAATGAAAAAAAAAAAAAAACGTAGAATTGTTAAATTATGTGTATAACATGATGAAAGTGATAATGAAAAGAAAGAAGAAATGGCTGAACCCAAATGGTGGAAAAGAAAAGGGCAAGACACGTTTTTTTCAATTTAGATTTTGAGTTCCCAAAGGGCAAACACAGATACGTAAGTTGTCGTATTTCGCATTATGTCTTACGGGTAAAACAAAGGCAATGAATAATACGAAGAAGCAATGCCGTGTCCGTGTGGGTTGGGTTGGGGTGGTCGTCGTGACTCATGTGAGTCATGGGGCGTGTTAAAATGTTAATGCGTTATTTCACTTTTTTCACTTCTATCCATAACCACCTAAACTAAACTTGTATTAACAATATTTTATTTTATTCTATGCCTTTATGCCTAGGTAAGTATTATTATTATTATGATGTGAATACGTTATGATATATTTATTAATATGACGACCATGGCTTGGCCCTTCTTTCTTCTGTAGCCTGATCTCGATTAAATTGAGACATTTAATATTGTTTATATGATAAGATTTGAAATGATATGAAACCCACTTCTTGAATCCAATCCATTACCCACTCTATTCTATTGATTATTGCTTCAACTGTGCAATTTTTATTTTTTTTTGCACAGAGCGTTTACTTGAAGCTGCATCAATTGAGGGATTCTTCATCTTTGGATTTGCTTTTGGTGCCTCGGAGTCAGAGCTGCAAGGAAAGTGGAGATGCTGGGATGAAAGCTGAATTTTGTGGTATGAACGCTTTTCTCACTCTTTTGGAATCAATTGATTTGTTGTTGGGGTGAGATCAGGGGAAGAGGAAAGATATAATTGAATCTTTGTTATTTTTTAGCAAAAAAGATATCCAAAAAGTTGGGCTGGGAGAGAATAGGTTCTTAAAACAGACAAGGTGACATCAAAAGATCAAAAACCCAGAGGTAGAAATAGCAAGTAAGAATTGATTCGAACCTTCTCTAACATGGCATAAAAAAGTATCCAATGATTCACCCTTTATCCAGTGGATATATATATGCAGTGTGTTTCTGATATTCTTTTAATAGCAGCTTTAACAGACTGTTGATTGCTTGTCACAGTTAGTAATGCATGATTCATGCTTATAACAATGATTTTACTGTTGTGAGTTCATTACTAGTCTCTTGTGTGTGTTTACTTATTGAGAGCATTTTGTGTTGCTGTTATTTGCAGGGAAATGGCTACTTTAGTTGAACCTCCCAACAGAATTAAGCCAAAGGGGAAGCATTATTACACAATATGGCAAACATTGTTTGAGATTGATACGAAGTACGTTCCAATCAAGCCTATTGGCCGAGGGGCATATGGTGTGGTGTGCTCTTCCATCAATAGAGAGACCAATGAGAAAGTTGCAATTAAGAAGATTGGGAATATATTTGAGAATTCTATTGATGCATTGAGAACTTTAAGGGAGCTGAAGCTGCTTAGACATATTCGGCACGAGAATGTCATTGCTTTGAAAGATGTTATGATGCCAATCCACAGAACAAGTTTTAAGGATGTCTACTTGGTCTACGAACTCATGGACACTGATCTTCACCAGATTATCAAGTCTTCTCAACTGCTTTCGAATGATCATTGCAAGTATTTCTTGTTTCAGGTACTAACCTTTTTGTTATGGGATTTTCCATTCCTTTAGCTCTTCTTTTTAATTTCTAAACTTGTGGTCGTCAATCTATTTTTTGGATTTCCAGAAATGCATAAAATATTCATTGAAGGAGATTTAGTAGGGGTTTGAAGTATATATGCAATTCACTCTTACAGTATTGAATTGACATTGCCGTGCTTCGAAATGAATTCTCCATTTTCAATTATTAATCTACAACCTACAAGTGTATTAAGTTAACTGTTGAATATCCTCTTTCATGCATTCTTATACAATATCATCAGGTTCTTTTTGAGGAGTTGGTACGATTTGAGTTGTGGCTTTACATTCTCTAGTTTGAATGTATGTTGCCCCAGTCAAAGAATTTAGTGTTTCAGTTCCATAATTTTTCCGGTGAAATAACACATACTACCATTCTATAAATTAGCGAAGTCTAGGGTTAATTTTGTTAAGTTAGAGGATTAGATAATTGATGTTTTATAGGTTTGTCCTTTTCTTTAGTAAATGTCTGATTTTTTATGTTGGTGATCACGGTTATTATTCTCTCTAGTTATTCTTTTTCTGCCTTTTGGATTATGTCTATATTTAAGTCCAGTTTAGACATTGGTTAATAAACTAAAATGAAGATATTAGAGATGTTAATGACTATATTCAAGTTCAGTTTAGGCAAGAGGATTGAGCATGTACTTTTGTGATAATGAAGACAGTAATCTTCATTTTCTTTTGATTTATGAGCTCACGTCTAATTTATCATTCTGCATAGAAGAACTAGCACGACTAGGAAGAAAATAAGATATTGCAAAACGGTGGACCGTATTTCCTGCTATAACGAAGAACAAGAAGGAAAATGTAAAACAGATAATTTCATGTATGCAATAAAGGTATAGAATCTTGTTCAATAACTAAGAAAGAAACCCCCTCAACAGGACTATTGGTCAAATACGTAGGCCCAAATGTTGAATAACCAATAGATCTCCTAAAAGCTTCAGTAACTAGATTTCATATAACGTTCCAAGTAATCCTTTTCTTATTTTCATCTTTCTAGCGTCCTTCAATTCGGAAAGAATTAAACCCCTTGTAGCATGCATGCATTAGACAAAGAAAATCATTGGCCCAAATTGGGAAATAGATGCGAATGTGACCTTAACATTGTTTGATTAAATGATCAACCTTCTTATGAAGATAACCTGTTAGGAACTATACATGTCACTCATCTTGTCTACAATTTTTGTGAGTTTTGCAGTAATGTTGAACATCATTGATAGTGATAATGTACAAGTAGAAAACAGTCAACGAATTCTTTTGTGAACTTCTAATCTTTGTATATTTGAACTATTCTTGTGATTGATACTAACCATAAACTCTTACTTCAGCTCCTTCGAGGTCTTAAATATCTTCATTCTGCGAACATTCTTCACCGGGACTTGAAGCCTGGAAATCTGCTCGTCAATGCCAACTGTGATCTGAAGATATGTGACTTTGGGCTTGCAAGAACTAATGGAGTTGATGGCCAGTTTATGACAGAGTACGTTGTCACTCGCTGGTACCGTGCACCGGAGCTCTTGTTATGCTGTGACAATTATGGAACCTCTATTGATGTGTGGTCAGTAGGGTGCATTTTTGCCGAGATTCTTGGTAGAAAGCCAATCTTCCCTGGAACTGAGTGTCTCAACCAGCTGAAACTAATTATAAGTGTTCTTGGAAGCCAGCATGAATCTCACCTTGAGTTTATTGATAATCCAAAAGCCAGGAGGTTTATCAAATCACTGCCCTATACTAGGGGCAGACACTTCTCACAGCTATATCCACAAGCAGATCCATTGGCCATAGATTTGTTGCAAAAAATGCTTGTGTTTGATCCAACCAAGAGAATCACTGTCCTAGAAGCTCTTCAACACCCTTATATGGCTGGCTTATATGATCCAAGGTGCAACCCTCCTGCTCAGGTTCCCATCAGTCTTGACATAGATGAAAATTGGGGGGAACAGATGATTAGGGAAATGATGTGGAATGAGATGCTGTATTATCATCCTGAAGCTGCTTCTATCAATGCATAGACGATTGATTCTTCCAAGGATTTAAACTTTTATTGGTATGTTTGTTTTTACGTTTGAAATGCTCATACCTCAATTTGACCCAAAGCAACAAGACACAAGCTTTTCTGTTGAGGTGTCTTGAACGTTGACAACTACGAATCAAATACACAATGTCATGTTGCTTGTCTCTAGGAGTAGTTATCTTATTCCTTAGACATATTTTAATCTTAAAGTAAGGACCTAGTTGCCGAATTTTGTACTTTGCATGAGATTGCTTTAGTACCTTTTTAATTTGGCGTCTCCACAAGGATAATGGCATCTTGTAACTTGTATATAGCCATGCATACTGTTTTGGGGTTTCGGCTATACCATTTGGAGTTTGAACTACTTGTTGTTCATCAGTTGTTTCCTAAAATTTTACAGGAAGGAGTAAGATAATTTGTGCTTTCAAATATATGTCTATGGTTTTGAGATGAGGCTTTCCTTAAATGACAGAGCTATCCTCTTTAATTTGAACGTGCACTGGATCACTACCCGGTTTTCTATAGCGGGGATCATTCAATTGAAAAAAAGTGTTTAGGGCATGTTCGGACGAATAGCTTAATCAAGAACTTTCAATGCGTTCCAATGATGTATTTACATAAACAACCTAATTAGATACTAATTATTTAAGCTCTTTTCATATAAGAGCTTATTCACAAGTTTAACTATGAACTTATTGAAATGTCGTAAAAAGAATTTATAGAAAGATGAAATCACTTCCTTCATAAGCCTAAATACAATATTTAAAACACCTTATTTGATTTACAGTTTTCACATTGTAATCTCTTGCGTTCCTAGTGAACTTGTATCAGTGACATTTGTGTACTAATTTTCTTTTTTATCAATAACAAATGCTATTTTTTTTTTTTTTTTTTTATAAATTTCATTCATATATCTTATTCATCCATTAGCCTAGTAGTGATTATTCCTATTATTACATATCACAGTATTTATCATGTCAGCAAAAAGTGTAATTAATTAGTTTTTATATATTTTTATCTTTACAATTTTATCATAATTTCTTCTTTACCCTTCTTATATTAAAAAACACTTGCACTCTCTCTTACCTTCGCTCTCTTTCACTCTCATTAAATATTAATTTTTTATAACAAAATTATAAAAACCATAATATAAATTCATTTTTATTATTTCATTTAATAGAATATTTAAAAACGATGATAAAAATAAAATAATTATTATCCTAATTTTGATATGATATATCATTTGAAATAAGTCAAATTATGAAAATTAATTAATAGAAATCTCCTAGGGGTATACGTATTCATTTGAAATATAAATATAATAATCAACTAAAATAGATGGTTTTATATTAAATCTTATATTTGAGCCAAATTTATTCTTCTGCAATTATTGAGAAAAAAATAAGTTAAATTCAAGCATTGAACAAAACAAAATTTAACCTGAATCCGATAGATAAACAAGCACAATGATAGTCTATCAGTAATAATTATTTAAAAATATATACAATTATCAAATTTTAACTTATGCTCAGTATTACTTTGTACTCATTAGCTAGTCTAGCAACTAATTTTAACTTTTTTTTTTTTTTTTATAATAGATTTTCTATGTATAGACTTTTGATAAATATAAAATATATATATTTTGTTTCCATATTTAAATTTTTTCGGGGTGAAATTTCCATATTTAAACTGAATCAAACAAAAGTACAATTTAATTTTTGGTATGATGACATGTTATAGTTAAGTGCGAATAAGGTACGTAAGGTGGGCTCAAATATACGCATACAAAGAAGTGTGGGCTCAAATATTTTTTCATTCAATCACAATTGGACTATAAAATTAACCGGTTAAATTAATCCAAACAAATCTTAAAAATAATTAATATTAAATGGAAAATTACACTTTGTATCCTGAAATCTTCTTAAATAACATTTATCTCTCTTTTGATTTTTTAATTAGACTTTAATTCATCTCCCTTACACATTTAATGACGTAACACGTCTCTTATTTTATCCAATCAAGTGAGAACCTATCTCAATTGAAGAAAAATAATAATATACACTCCTTATTTTAAATTATCTGGGGTAGCTAAGTATTTTTTAAGAACTTCAAAGAGTGTAAGTGTTACTTTTTTTTTTATTATATTTTTTATAGTTTAATAGAGTAGGTGTTATTTAAGAAGATCTTATTAGAAGAAAAATTGCTGTTATATTATCATCAATACTATATTCATTTCATGCTTATAAAAGCTAATTCACCGTAGCCTCCTCATATTTACATTATTATATATTATTAACAAGTACAAAATGACTAATTTTGTCTTTGTATTTCTCTTGAAAATCACATTCAACATCGACCCGTCAATTTCTTCTAATCAAGTTGGACTGCATCAAATGACGTCTAAATTCGTATTTATTCACACCTTGAATTTTGAATTTTTTTTATAAAAAAAAATAGAAGAGAAAATAAATAAATTAACAAGTATATTCAAAATACATATATATATATATTTAAAAAAAAAAGATCATTTCAACCTTTTTACACAATTTTTAATTACAAGTTTTCTCTTACTTTGTTTTTGCTCACATTCTTCTCTCTTCCCAAATTCATTCCCCTATGAAATTAACAAAGAATGTGGAAGAGTGAGGAATTGTAAAAGAATATGCGAGAGAATCATGGTATTATATGATTGACTGTGATGTGATGTTGTTATAACGTTGTGAGAATTGTAGCAGCTGTGTTGTGGAGCTGAAAAGCGGCATGAGAAAGAGACATGAATATGTAGCCGCATGCACAGGACAGGGTGTGCTGACACCGCAAAGACTAACATAATCACCACTTATAGGGTGTTGCATGTACTTCTTGGAGCATCCACAATCTTCTATTAGATTTTCCTCCTTTATGCTCACTTTAATTTGATGCACAATAGAAGGAATTATAATGAAGGAAAATACGATATATAATTTTTAGAATTGCCTTATTTTGACAAAAAAATATGTATTTTAATTCATTCAGAACAAGTTTAAGGGGTTTATTAGATTAGTAGTAACATGAAATTCCCATCTTGCTTGTATCTGCCGGCTGTCGGTGGTATTAACGATGCAAATAGTCTTACAAAAGAATTTGTCACATGCTATGATAGTGGTCTCTAGCTATATATCTAACTAAATTGAACTACAAAATACGTTCATATCTGATAGACGCAATAAAGATTATTGGTCAAAGAAAAGAAAAACTGAAGCAGCCATCTAGTTTTGCCAAGGATAAATTAGAACATTTGATAGATATAATTGACACAATGAAGATAATTCAGTCAAAGTAAAAACGAAGAAAAGCAGAAGCAGCCATCTATGATAAAATTATAACTTATTAGCCCACGTGGAAAGCATTATGGTGCATTTTCCAGAGAGAGGGAGTCATAAATCTTTTCACAATTAAAATAAGATCTGGCTGGCGCTCATGACGTCGATGACTTAAGCGATAAGGTTTATACGTATATGTTAAATTGAAGCTTCCTAGAAACAACATATAAAGATGAACATGGGTGAGACTCTAACTCAAGCTGGTTTGAAAAAGGTTTCTACCTATTCATTTGTAACATATATTAAAACTGCATTCATATTGAGGAGACAGAAAAAGGCACAGAATTCAGGTGCAACCTAGCTGACAAATGGAACTCACTTGAAAAAACCATGGGATACATACACTATTCTTATTTTTCATTTTCTTAATTATTCATTCTTTAATATCTTCCTTGGAAAGCATATACTCTACCTAGCTATTAAGAAAATTGCAACAAATAGTATGGCTGGCATGGCCACCCCACTGGATTTTGGTCGGGAACCTTTTTCTTTCCTTTCCAACAACCCATAACTGGAACCATGTGCTTATAGCACATCGTAAATGAAATAAATTAATATTTTGGTGTTCAAAAGCTGTCTGTATGTTCAAAAAAGCATCGATCACCTTCGGTAAATTAAATATTAGTTATGGTCCATCATGTGACAATATAGTTTTTTTAACTCGGCAAAAAGAAAAACAAATACTAATACCTCACATGAAACGTAAGGAAAACTAATTAATCCATTTTTGGTCTGCTTGATTAAATTTAGTCCATGTGTAGCATTTCTCTTAATGATAATATCTTAGTATCCAAGTCTTTTGCTTAATGATAATATTTTGGTAGATATGATAGTAACAACCACCTAATACTAAGATCAATTTATGTAGATTTTTTTATATCTTAGTAAGTAATTTTCAGTTTTGAATTTTGGATATACAATTACTTTAAATACTTAAAGAAAAAATTTTGCTGTGTATAATATATATTTTTGACTCGACTAACATAACTTTTGGTAGTGAATATATATATATATATTGTGTGTGCGTGATTTAGAGAGAAAATATGTTTTTCTAAATATTCTTATTCATTTCAAACATGATAGATGATTTATGTTGTATGTATTTATAAAATAATGAGCAAGTTTTATATACATTAATTTTGAATTAATTATTTAATTTATTTATATGTACTTATAATGTTTTATAGAATGTTAAAATATGATTGAAGAGATAATGATATGTTGCTGTTTCATAGCTTATAAGTTCTGTTTCGCAATGGTATGATCTGTCAGGAATAAACAAATTCATTTTATAAGTGATTTTATTTCATTATTAATGTAGATTCAGATAAAGAGAATGGGTGTAAAGACAAATTATGTGCAAATGAGTGTATTAGTTTCTGTCGTTAATATTCTTTTTACTATGTTCTATATATACATATGTGTATTTCATGAAGTCCAGAGCTGAGGTTTTCCTAATCCAGTATTATATATAAACGAATACCCCTTAATACTCCATATAGCTTATGTTTGACTAAAATAACATGGTAGTTAGAACATTTTATTTCTTGAAGTAACGTATATATTTTAAATTGCGTTATATATACAAACTTGGAATGTGTAATATAATATACATGGAAAACAGGCATTGAAATTGATGTATAATATTTTGAGTTGAGAATTAGTGATGAAAAGCTTTTGATTGAAGTTCACTGAAATGCCCTAGAAAGATGATCTGCAATATATAGAATATATTAATATAATAACCCGGTGGCACATTGAAGAAGAAAAAGAAAAGGTAAAAGTTGGAATAATTATTAAAAAAAGAAAGAAACTGGTGTGTGCAACTAGCATTCATTACCTAAGATTCCAGCTTGACCACCATGTCCATCCTCCACTAAGAAATAAACATTTAAAATAGGTGGTCCAACATCTAAGAATTAGATGAGCGTCATATTGCGTTACCATGGTAAATAAGAAGATTAGTATAAGAGTGCGCGTGCACATGAATAGGAGCAGTGAACATGGTCCTTTCCAAGTCCTTTCCCCTTTCCCCCTTTTATGCGTATTGACTTTTTCAGTCACCAAACAAAATATCAAACACCAAACAGCCACTAGGCACTAGGCACTAGCCAATATTAATTTATGTTTATTTTATTCCATTATTAGAATGGGCAATTGAATTGTTGTGTCTATAAATTGGGCTTCTGAAACCCTTCAAAACCTCTTCCCCTTGGCCTTTGAAACCTTGTCTTATTCCTCCTTATCATCTCAATTCAATCTAGTCTTTAACATCCTCTTCTCTCTATAAAACCATCCTCATCATCCTCCTTCTGCAGCAATGAATGATTGAGAGAGACAAGGCAAATGTCGTCTCCAGTAATCTGTGAGATCCTTCTCTCCGGTTTCACCATCAACTCTTCTCTCAGGCGCAGGACACACTTGGTGCAATCTTTCTCAGTTGTTTTCCTCCACTGGTTCTACGTTTTCTCATGAACTAAACATCCTCCTACATATATATATATATATATATATTCCATTATCCGTACATTGAATCATTAAGAGTAGGTAGGAAATAATCAAATAGTTAAGTTAGTTGTTATGGCTTCTCCCGGTGGTTCGAGCTGGCTTCAAAACTCAGGATCGGAGGGAAGCACGGTGGAAGAAAGGAAGAGGAAGAGAATGGTGTCGAACAGAGAATCGGCACGCAGATCGAGGATGAGGAAACAGCAGCACCTGGAAGGCTTGAGTGTGGAAGTGGATCGGCTGAAGAAGGAGAAGGAGCAAATGAGCGGCAACATAAGCATGACCATGCGGATGCTGCAGAACGTGGAGGCGGAGAACGCGATTCTGAGGGCGCAGATGGCGGAACTCACCAACAGCTTGAACTCGCTGAACGAAATAATCGATTTCATAAACTCCACAAACAGCTTAATGTTGGAGAATGATTGTGGCTTCGTGGAGCCTTGGAATTGGAACTCTCTGCCTTTCAACCAACCAATCGTTGCCTCTGCTGCTGACGTCTTCATGTTTTGATTTCACAATTTCTCTTTATTACTCTTTTTTTGTTTTCGCTTTATCTTGTGTTGTGCAATTATCGACCTTTTCATTTCCATCTCTGTCATTTTCCTTCATTTTCGCTCCTTTTTCCCTCAAATTTATAGCGTGTTTGCATTATTGTTAGAAACGTGGAAAATCATGTTTGACAGGAAGCAATAAATAATAGCTTGGACGTGAAAAGAGAATGTGTAGAAACGTATTTCCGATCACAATATTAGACTCTTCATAAATTCAACTGCTTAAAACTTTATGTGTGTTTCTACAGCCTTTTCATTACTGCTATCAGATCCCTTTTTGATAACTAGCCACTTGTCGGTAAGTTCCTATGTACGGACACATATATATATTTGGACACAAAAGCTGTCTCTAACTTCACCAAGATAAGAAAAATAAATGATTCATATGCACAATTTTCTGTTTAACTTTATTATAATTCTTTCAAAAAATTTATATATTAATTACTTTTTCAATATGTTTTAAGAAAATTGATTGACGAAACGAAACCCTTAAAAGAGATATATAGAGAGATTAGAAGTGTTAATTGCATATTTCATTTAATTTATAAGTGTCAAATACATCATTACTCAATTCAAAAATGTCAAATTAAATTTTATGAAATCTAATACTAATGGTTTAATATGATTTTTCGTTAAATGTCTGGATTTTCAATTTTTAACTAGAAAAGATAAATAGTACGAATATATTCAAACCAAATATACTAATTTAATGTGTAAATAATGAATTTAAACAGAGTGTAGGAGATAATATATTGCAAGTATTTCTCTTTAACAAATAACCAATTCGTTATTTTTCATGCGATTTGTCTCCTATTAAATAACAACTTGTCTCGTACTAAATAACAACTCTCTTTGAAACTTTATATAATAGCCACTTTTGATATTCGTCGCGGTTTCGAATAAAACGTTTCTACCTATGAGCAAAATATGAATTTTTTATTTAAATCTTATACTTGAAATATACTAACCAAAATGTTATATTTATTATTCATGTCGAGAATTTAGTCTTCCATTAACTAATTTTTTACATAAATTTTTCATTTTTTTTCATTAAGATATTGGCTAACTAGCTAGTAACACTTTGATAAATATATTTGAAGGTATGATATTTTAGTAAATGTTTTTTGTAATATTTAATTAAAAAATCACAACATATAGATCATCCAATTAATCGCGTTTTCGTTTGACAATATGTCCATCTTTAAATTAGAGATAATAAAAACAATTAAAAATGTTGCTTATCGTATACAGATATAAGGGGTTCACATTCACTTGGATTTAAAAAACGCGTATATTATGAATTTGTCACCATGTAGACAGATGACGTACGTTGTATAAACAAAAATTTAATGCCAATCAATCATAACAAGTTAATATGCAGCTCCTTTAGATTAATTGTGAAGAGGGAAACTAATAAAGTCGGTAAGGAAAAGGGCCAATTGTTTCATTTCATATGATATAATGTCACATTTGTACCGTTTCCTAAAATCCAAGTGTTAATTTGCGAACGTGAATATAATATTTGCATTATTGCTTCTGCATGCTTTCATTGTCGAAGAGAACAGTTTGGAAAGATATAAAAGTTAGGTGTTCATCGATCATCCTCTAAAGAAATGAAAATGTGAAAGCGATGAACTGGAATGGAATCTATTGGATATTCTTGCATAGGAAATTATTCCAATAAAAAACTTTGTTACTTTTGATTTTTTAACAGTAAGATTTTTCTTTGTTTTAATCTATGTTAGAGAAGTTCAATGGAAAAACCAATGAGAATTCTACAATGAAGTCTAACCATTTGTGCAAATCACCCATTATTATAGCCTTTTTCTAAAATATAAAAGTTAGGTTATATAATATTCGCATTATTGATGCATGCCTTCATTGTTGGACTGAGCAAGTGAGAAATTTTCAAATATTCCAAGTGACAGTTGATCAATTAGCTCATCATCCTTTAAAGAAATGAAAATGCGAAGACGGTGCAAGCATTTCGGACAAATTATAAACTAGAATTCAAATGTGAGAGAATACTTCATGCAGTTTCAATTTAATTATTATTATTATTTTTTACATTCTCATCTGATTATAAATTAACATATATAAAAATTTATTTACTTTTACGATAATCACTTTAAAAAGTATATTTATTATGATATTTTGATCTAAACAAAATTATACTAACAGTGTATAAAAATTAAATTCACATAATATATATTGTTCCCTCTTTAATAAAAACAAAATAAAATATATAATGTGTCATAACAAGACATAATCATATCTTCCCCGGAATGGACCCAGAAAATCCAAATCCCTTGAATGTGTTATTCTCACATTCATTTTGAAATGATTAATTATAAAAATAAAAAAATAAGTAAGTTTATATTTTTTCAAAAAAAAAAAACTTTATTTTTTTTTTTTTTTAAAAAAAAAAAACTTTATTTTTTTTTTTTTTTAAAAAAAAAAAACTTTATTTTTTTTTTTTTTTAAAAAAAAAAAACTTTATTTTTTTTTTTTTTTAAAAAAAAAAAACTTTATTTTTTTTTTTTTTTAAAAAAAAAAAACTTTATTTTTTTTTTTTTTTAAAAAAAAAAAACTTTATTTTTTTTTTTTTTTAAAAAAAAAAAACTTTATTTTTTTTTTTTTTTAAAAAAAAAAAACTTTATTTTTTTTTTTTTTTAAAAAAAAAAAACTTTATTTTTTTTTTTTTTTAAAAAAAAAAAACTATCAAGTTTATGAATAAAAACAACTCTAAAACATCATGTCTTTAAGATAATTTTTCAAAAGTTACATGATGAGTTTGAGTCATAATTTTGTCTGGTAGCAAAAGAAAAGTCATCTTTTTGTATCCTAAAGAAGTTTCACTAATAATTTTAAAAATTATACAATAAAGTTTAACCATTTGAATGGTACATCCTTCCCGGACAAGCTATGAAGTTTTGATGACAACCTTTTTTTAAAACAATCGGCGAGATGTTGACAAGTGTTTACAGATTAAAAATAAATAAATGTGTAATATGGTTGATTCAATTTATTTTTTAAAAGATAATCACTTGTTTTTATCAACTTTTAAGAATGTTTTCAAAAGTAAATGATTATTTTTTTTCAAAATTAGTGCTAATAAAAAAAGGGTTTTAATTAGTCTAGAAAATCATTTTTTTCTTTTTTAACTAACTGTGTTCTGCAAATTAGTCACCGGTTTTGTGAAAAGAAAATCACTTTATCCACCTTTAATAAAATTATCTGAAGATGAAAAGGCAAATGGCAATGTTGCAGTTCCTTTTGGGAGAAGGGAAGAGGTATCTTTCCTTTTGGAAGAGGAGAAGGGGTATCTGCCTAAGATAGATAAAATTGAATTGATTCTTAGAACTTAGAAGGGTACAATTTAAATTAAAATAAAACGAGATTGTAACTCAATTGTCACCTACCACGATGTTTAAGATTAGCAAGCATAGAAACATCTCAAGTTTTTTTTTTTTTTTAATTACCGATTGAACCGAAAGCTTATATCAATTTACATATTGTTCAATCAACTGGGTTAAATTTCTTAGTGCTCGGAACAGAAAACAAAAAACTTTTTTTTACATAAAAGAATGAAAGCACAAATAAGTCAAGGTTATAAACAAATAAAAAAAATTATAATTTATTTAACGTGGTTCAGTTTCTCATGTCTATATTTGTAATGATGTTCAATGTATTATAAATATATATATATATATAAGAGTTAATCAGCTATACACTGTTATTGTAAGGTTTTTTTACACTGACAATCAATTATATTTTTTAATTGTGTCATGTCATTGTAAACACATTTAATTCATCCTTTCAAGTTTTGTGAGTGTAATTTGAAAATTTCATTCTCACAAGTTTTATGAATGAAACTTGAAATATCCTTCATAAGTTTTATAAGTAAAACTTAGAAATCTTGCCTCATAAGTTTTTTTTAAGAAACTTGAAAACATTCCTTTACATGACTCTCTTTCATTTAAGACACTAACTTTCTTTACAAGTTAGGTAATTTTTCTCATCTCAACAATATCTATTTATTGACCTAACATTCTAACCTTAAAAGACAAAATAAATATCTAATATAAATTTAATATATTTTAATTATGAATAATAACATAAAAGAATTAATATTTTTTAAACTCTAAATAATATTTCAGATATTTGAATTTGAAAATTGAATTATTTTTTCAACATTTAGTAAAAACATCTAAAGTTTAATCCTCTACTAAGTTTCTAAATTATACATCGTAGTTAAAGTTAATCATCTTCTTATTACATACATTAATGATGTGATTAAATAATTTTTTTTTAATAATGATAAAATATTAGTTCATTAGGACATAGTAAGTTCTTTTTTTAGTTTTTTCATGGATATCTTTTAGTCTATTGAGACAAAGAGTAATCCTATTTACATTACTGTGATTATCGCTAATCCAACAAATTTTCATACATAATGTAAGATTGGACACATGTTCTCCAATAAATATATAGATTGCCTACATAAAATCTAACCTAGTAAATAATATTGCACCTTGCATTTCTCTTCTTTTTTCTTCTACAATCACATCAAATTATAACACGAAGAAATTTAACAAATCGTTAAAACAAATAAGAAGAAGAGAAATTGATAATTAAAATGTTTTATTAAATCATAATCACAATTTAAAAAATGATGTAAAAATAATTTTAAATTGAAATAAAAATTGCACAAATAAAAATATTATATTTGCTTTGAAATAAAAAGGGAAAAAAAATTCAAGTGTAAGTCATGCAAGAAATTTTCCCTCTGGTACAGAAATATGAAGCTAGAAGAGAAAAATTAATTTTTATGTACTAAAAATGTTATAAAAAAAAAGGGGAAAAAAAAGAAGTATATTATCATTTATCAATTAACTAGATTTGGCAATTGATATAAATTTTAAGTGAGTTATTATAAAATCTTGCAAACTTACCTTATATCATCAATGTGTAGATTGTTTTCTAGAAGAGAAAATTATGCAAAAGACAAATGCATTTACTTAATTATATTATTAAGATATAAATGTCATTTAACACAATACGTAGACTATTACTTGCATTTCATATTTATTATTTAATTTCAAATTGTTTATTAAAAAAAAAAAAAAAGAGTGTGAAAAAAAATCGAGTAAGAAACTTGTGAAAATTTCCTAAGCCTCAATTTCTGAATCCTTCCAAAGCCCAATCTCCCATCCCCGATGCTAAATCCTCTGATTTCAATCTCACCTATGCAAAAACCTTTTGCTTCAACCTTGCACAGAGGACAAACATTAGAAAGAAGATGCCACACAAGGGAAAGGAAGGATTTTATTCATAGGTCGAGTGGTTTGCGACTTTGCTTATTATGGATTTTTAACCGTGTCTTGAATGTTGATTTAGTGGATTATTGATTTATATATTGTGTGTTGTTGATTTTTCTTATTGTATTTTTTTTCTTCTATATTTTTAATTTTCAAACTCTTTTATAATTAATTTATAATGATATAAGCATTTTAACATCGTTAAACAACGTCTTGAACTAATAACATTTTATTATGTATTTAGGACGTCAAACTAATATTTCATATGACAAGTTACATCATTACTTGACGTAACATTACTTAATGATATATACTTCATAAAAGTAACTAAATATAATGACACGCAACAGTTGAAAGATCGAGATCAGTTAAAAAAACACTTAACCCTAAAAGTAAAAGAATTGATGACTCTAAACAAAAGCTACTTTTGTGAAAAAATGAAAAACTAAAATTACAATCCACTTAAATTTTTGCATGTAACTTGTCACATCAAATTAGCAAATCCATGAGACAAGTCATGCATTTACTACATATTTACTTAATGGTGATACTTGACAATAACAATTACAAACAATAATAAACAATATCGATCAAAATTCATTTACAGAATATTTAGAAACCAAAAATATATTTAAGTCCAAAAAAAAAATATAATAAACAAAGGCAATTTAAGTGAAACGCTAGCAACAAAGTAATTTGGCCTAAAAAAACAAATGTACATGAAATTACAAATGAAAAAATGAAAATTTTATTACTTTTATAGTATCAGTTTGAGATTATTAAAGATGATCTCTTTTAGCATCTAACCCAGGAAGACAAGTTTGTTCATGCGTATAAATTTAAAAACCTGGTAAAAAAAAAAAAAAACTAAATGAATGATAGTTCAGCCCAAATGTTCTCAACACCTTGAACTTGGTGCCAGCCAAGAAGATGTTAAGTGCACAAAAAAAAACCCCGAAAGATCAAGCAAACTGTACACTCCGAAGCAACAAAATATTTCCGTCCATCAAGAGATATATCTTGAGAATTACTAGTGTAACAACACCAAGAAGTGTAACACTAAGAAGGGCACTTTCTTTAAATAAAAAATAATTAATAAAGAAAATATAAATCTATTTTGACTAGAGCTACACATAACCATAGCTCATGATGTAAAGAACTATGGTATTACTTAGCAGCCTGTTATTTCTCTTCCAAACTTATCGGAGATAGATCTTCAGTAGACTGTCAAAAATTCAAGACCAAAATTCTGAGGGCTGCCTTTAGCGTGTTTCTTCAGTATCTCTTCATTGCTTGCTTCCCATTGCTTTATTTGTCATTGCCAATATAAAAATTTCAGGATGACACCATAATCAATGTAGCAGAGTTTCTCTTATCCGCCATTTACATCCCTTGTTTATCATCTCTATGTAACAACAATTGATGTTACTATAGAACTATACTTGTACCGCCCACATCGGTACTAGGACCCACCCTGGCAATAATGGGCTCGAACCACGCCAACTCGGAAGGTCAGCCCATCTCTCCAACACATATGATAAGCTGATAAGAAAGAGATCTTATCATATCTTAACCAACTTAATTATCAATAAAGGAAAAATCCTAATTATATCAAGGTAAGTGCATTATATATATGAGACCCATACACTCACAAAGACTAACTTGAGCATCGGAATCTCTTTTGCAGGTATCACCCCCACCTCGGAGCAGCCAACGTACCCAGCAAAGAAAGCTCATCAATCTTGCCCAGTAAATCGTCTCTCACGACCGATCTCCGGTAAAAACAATAGTGATCATGTATCTGTCCAAACATTTGCTTTGCTGAGGACCAAAATTTCTCTGCTAGCTGCCTTCACTTGCCTTCCCTCTCCTTTTTGAACACTCTTCAATCATAAATTGAGCAACCCTGTAAAATGAACAGGTGTGCAATTGATGCTAAAATTTCAATATTCTTCTGAAGTAGTTGATCTCTACGCTGGCACAAAACAGTTCTTTACACGCCTCTAATTCATCAAATGAAAAAAGGTCGTTCACACTTCAAAGTCATTCTTCCAACACCAATATGTCAGCTTTGCACCCGCATATGGCCTAGCCTTGGTAGTTGGTCACCAAAAATTACTACAAGAACAGGCCCCATTAAGGAAGTGGTGGAATCTCGTATTATCCCTCACAACAATTTTTCTTCCTGTAACTTTTGATGCACCACACATTACGATATGACAATCCTCACATATCCTAAGGTTCTTCATAATCTTTATAGTGGAACCAGCATCAGTACTCAGCAATCCAAATGCCAAAGCTAGTTTTTCACTATGAGCCATTAGTAAAAGCATTTTTTCTTCATCATTAATACCATAAGGCACCGAACATAGGTTTGGCTGGTATCCAATACCCTTAAGCCGTTCAAAAAGATCATTTAATTCCTTCTTTATCTCATTAATTTCTGGATGTTTCACATCACCAGCAACGAACTCGTGAATCGTACCATTTTTGGCTTCAACCCAGCTACACCCAGGATTTTTTTTCAAATTTTTTTCTCTCATCAATTTCCTGACCCTTGACACACCATCCCATCTTCCAGCCGATGCATAAGTGTTGGCAAGCAACAAATAATTCCCTATGTTATCAGGTTCAAGCTCAAATAAACGCCTTGAAGCAATTTCAGCAACATCAGGGTTCCCATGGATGTGCGATGCTCCAAGAAGCGCTCCCCACACAGCTCCATTAGGCTCCATAGGCATTGTCTCAACAAGCCGAAGTGCCTTTTCCAAGTGTCCAGCTCGGCCAAGAAGATCCGCCATGCAAGCATAATGCTCTCCAGTTGGAGCAACACCATAACACTCTTCCATCGTAGCAAATAGCTTCTGCCCTTGGTCTACCAAGCCAGCATGACTACACGCCGTAAACACCCCCACAAAAGTAACATGGTTTGGTTTTACCTCCGTCTCCAACATGTCGTAAAACAACTTAATCGCCCCACGAGCTAGACCATGTATAGCAAACCCCACAATCATGGAACTGTAAGAAAAAACATTTCTTTCCTTCATTCCCTTAAAGACATCATACGCCTCCTCCACATTACCACATTTTGAATACATGTCTATCAAAGCTGACCCCACAAGGACACTACTTCCTCCCCCAAATCCAACACTCTCGGCAATGTCCCTTACCCACTTAGCATACCCAGACGCACCCAATTGAGCACAAGCAGATATGACACCAACCAAGGTAACCTCATCAATCTCAACACCAGCATCCACCATCCCCCGGAAAACCTCCAAGGCATTCTCCGGCATGGCATTCTGCGCATACCCGGTAACCATGGCAGTCCAGGCCACCATATCCTTCACCAGCAGCCCGTCAAACAAGTCCCGTGCAGCCTCCATGTGACCTCTCCTCGCGTAGGCAACAATGAGCCCGGTCCAAGAAACGACATCCCGTTGAGGCATTTCATCAAACACCTTGCGCGCGGAGTGCAAAACTCCGCATTTGACGTACATGTGGATGATGGTGTTGTTAACATACAAATCGGAGACGAACCCACCAAGGAGGAGTGTCTGGGCGTGGAGCTGGGCCCCCAAGGCGGCGTCTTTGGCGGCGGCGGAGGCGGAGAAGAGGGCGGAGAAGGTGAAGGAGACGGGAGAGACGCGGCGTTGGCGCATGGAGGAGTAGAGGCGAAGGGCCTCGGGGAGGGGTCCTCGGAGGGCGTAGGCGCGAATGAGAGCGGTCCAGAGAAAGGGGTTGTTGGGGGCGTGGACTTGTGCGAAGAGAAGGAGAGGGTAGGAGTTGAGGGGCAGGTGGGGGAGCGTGGTGAGAAGGCGGAGGAGCTTGGTGATGACGTAGGAGCATTGGTGGAGGTTGTTGCGGTATATGTGGCCGTGGACTTGTTTTGCGTGGTTTAGGGTGCTGCAACAACTGTCCAGGATTCTCACCACTTCGGACTCCACAACCCTTGCCACAACCATCTCTTCTTCTTCTTCTTCTGCTGCTTCCCTTCTTAATCATCACTCTCACGTACTGTGTTTCAATGATTTTACTTCACCAACTATCAAACACTCATACTTGTTGTTTCAATCATTTATGACTTTAAACGGTCATTGCATGCCTCTTTTCTCCTTTTCTTTACGCGCATTAAGTTCTGTCATATACTCCTATACCACGCATAAGTATATTAATTTGTTTTTTAATAGCTCTTTTTATACATTATTATTCTAGTTCTACTTTAAAGTAAATTACATTATCCATAATAAAAGTATTATTATTTTGTCATTTTTTTCTTTTTTTAATGCATATAAAATTTTGTCATATACATATATATCACGCATAACTATAATTATATATATAAATAATTTTGTTTTAAATAGTCTTTTTATTGCATAATTAATTTTGTTTAAAATTTAGAGTCAATTTTTTTTATAAGCAAGAAGAATTTAAATTAAAAGGAAGTATAAGGAGTACTCTAAGTCATTACAAGGAACACAAAAACAAATTATAAATAAAAAAATCAAAGTCGAGACTATGAGAAACATAAATTTGGATTATGATATCAGTTAATGTAACTAAAAGAACACTTAGAGACAGAACTAGTTATCCACTTTCATGAATACAGTTTAATGTTGTCCAACACTTCCTTGCAATCCGTAACACCCTGCTGAAATGTGATCACATTTCAATGAAGTCATAGTGACCAAATAACAGAAACTCAAACCACCAGAAAACACTGAAAACGTTTTTTATAAATACCAAGATTTGACCAATATAAATAAAGAAAAGTTAAAGAATTAGGAAGGACCACCGCCACCTCTAACCAATTGGCCACAGCTAACCAAATATTAAAAGTTATAAGGCACATTAGAAAAAGATGAAGAGGGTCTTCAACAAATAGAGAGTAAAAAGAACATAAATTGTTATCCAACACCAAACCTCGTACTTGTAACAATGATTTGCACGTAAACACATTCAAAAACACCTATCAACAAAATATCAAACACTTGATTGAAGCTTTGCTTTTCCAAATACTTTTTATAATTTGTTGAAAATCTAAAGAATATGTAGGTTCTCCACCCAACAAGCGTTGCAACCAAAGATACGCACTTTTCACCGAGAATACACCGTCCTTATCACAAATCCATCTCCAATAATCTTGCTTAGAAGGGAAAATCTGCAAACCTTGACTCTCCCTTTCAACGATATCCTCTTTTTAGAGTCAATTATATTACGTTATCCTCTTTTTTTTATGTTTCATTATTTGATTTAACTCATTTAATTTAATATTATTAACATAAATTGTACTCTCCCTTTCAAGACATTAAGTATTATATTGTCTATGTTTACACGTTAAAATATTAAGATATTGAGTAAATTACACTCTCTTTTTTTATTTTAAATATACTATATATAGTATAATTTAAAATATTTAATTTAGTATCATTAAAGAATAATTAATTTATGATTTTAAAAATATATTTTTAATTAAAATATGTGCTAAAGTATTTGTAATTCATTTTTATCACTACTAGAATTTCTCTTATTACATGCGACTTTTCTTGCGAATTTTTCATAAAAATTCGCAGGAAACGTTGTTCTTGCAAATTTTCTTGCGAAATTTTATCTGTATGTAATACCTTCGTGGATAATATTTTTTTGCGAATTTTAAAATTCGTAGGAAATTTTCCTACGAAATTTCTTGCGAAAAAAATTCGCATGAAAATTTCCTGCAAAAAAAAATTGTAGGAAAGTTTTCTACAAAAAAAAATTCGCAGGAAAATTTCCTGTCAATTTTTCGCAAGAAATTTTGAAAAAATATTTTTTACAAAAAAAATTAAAGAAATTACAATAAATTATCAATAATTTTTCAACTTTCAAATCCTCACAATGAATTCATCCAAAGCATTTGTTTCCATGCATCCAACATGTGATACATAATCTTTTAAATTCTAAGATTGTAGATTATAAGCCTAACACTCAACCATATAAATCAACTTGTAAGGTAAGTGTTGCCCCAACATATATACTCTTTAATTGCTTTATTTTCAATCGATGTGGGACTTGAAGTTTTTTAAAAATATTAAACTTATAAATTTAAATATATTTTTTTTATTTTTCCTGTGGATTAAAATTTGTAGGAAAATCTGCAGGAAAAGTTACCTGCAAAATTTTTCTACCATTTAGTAAACATTATTTGCGAATTTATTTTTGCAAGAAAATCTGCAATAAACAAAATAAAATTTTTACAATATTTTCTACAAATTTTTACCATGGAAAAAAATTTATATGATTATTAAAATTGCAGCAAAATTCGCAAAAAATTTCTGCGAATATTTTTTTGCAAGAAAATTCGCAAAAAATTTCTGCAAATATTTTTTTGTAGGAAAGTTTGCAAGAAAATGACACTTTTCTAGTAGTGTATCTACTCATTTGATAAAAAATTTTGTGTAAAATATATAATTAAATTTAAATTAATCTATTAAAATAATAAATAAAATATAAAATAAAATGTTTTATTTTTAAAATTTGTAAAAGCTTATTCAGAAGTTTTTTCATTCGTAATTCTCAATAGTAACAAACAACCTATATAAATTTAAAGTATAGATCAAAGTGAACTCTAAGTCGTAAATAGGTCACTATAATATCGCTGGCCCGTATTTTTTCACCCAAATAAGAGTAAATTTAGGCGTGTGTCAAAATGACGGGAAAAAAAAAGTGAAAAGAAATAAAGGAGATAAAATCATGTTATGTGATTTAAAATAGAGTGAAATTTTGATTATTAATTTAAAAGAAATAGAAAAATAAATAAATAAATAACTTCTATTTAAATTTTTTATTACATTAGAAATTGTTATTATGTAAGTATGTTTCAATTGATTGAAAATTTTTTAATCGATTTATACTTTTTAACATTTTCAAAACTGCATGTATGTGTTTATAATTTAAAAAAAAAATACTTATGCTGCTTTATGACCACTAGAAATAGGAGAGAAAAAAAATCAATAATTGTATATTTTATGGCGATTTTAAACTAGAACAAAAATTGTCACGATATATTTTGACGTCTCATTTTTGAACATCTCGGTAAAGAAATAAAAAGGTATAGTATTCATATTTCCACTTGACATATCTCTTAGCAATCAATCAACTTCTTGATTTTATTTCTGGCTTATTTTTTTCTCATTTTATTTTTTATTCATTTTTTCGCTTGACTTAATTTCTTTGTTATTTTTATGACTTAAATATGTTTTTAGTTTTTTAAATTTAAAATAAATTTATTTTTGGTCACTCAAATTTAAAACCGTTGTTTTTAGTTTCTGTAATTTTTAAAACTCTTGTTTTAGTCCTTTATGTTACCAATAACATATTTAAAAGTGATTAATTAAAACAATTATACAATATCAACTAGATTTAATGTGATATTTTTCCTAATAGAGATACTAATAGTTAGATTTTATGCAAAATATTTGATAAATTTCTTAACAAAATTTGAATATAAGGACTAAAATAAGATTTTTTGAAATTACAATGACTAAAAATAACAATTTTAAATTTAAGAGACCAAAAACAGATTTATCCTAAATTTGATGGACTAAAAATATATTTAAGCCTATTTTTATTATACTAAAAAAGGAGGGTTATTTCACGCGACCTTCGAATTTATTCAATTGACTTGGTGATAGGAATATAATAGCCAGACCCAGAAAGTTACCATATTGGGCTAAAGATTACTTAATGGACTAGAGAATATAATGTTAATTTGGGCTTTATTGTAATTGTTTTCCTCCAAGGTCTTTAGACCATTGTAAGGGTATTTAACCCCTTTGTCACCACCGAATGAGTATGATGAAATTCCTGATTTAGATTTTTTCTTAGATTTGCTCTTGTAGACCTAAGTTCTCTGTAGACTCTATCAAATTGGTGCTTTCATTGCTATGGCTCCTAAGCCTAATCGGGATGCTGACCTCAACCGTGACGAGGCCATTGCCAACCTCACTTCTCAAATTGCTGATTTACAGGTACAATTGTCCCAACAAAATCAAATTCATGATGAACGTCATGCTGCTTTAACCACTCTAATGTCCGGCTTGATGGACACTTTCACCCAACAATTGAACCAGCCACCCGTCGTTACTTCCACACCCCCACCTCTCACCGTGCCTGGTACCCTTAGCCAAAGCCAAACCGCTCCATTGATTTCCAACCCACCGCCATACAATTCCTCCCCAACATTTTCTACCACTACATCTTCTACCTCCCATCTACATAATCCATACGCTCCCCCGTTTCCTCACCATAATTTTTTTGCCCATCCCAACCCTAACCCTATCCCATACACCACTCCTATGGCCACTCCTATATCTTTCCCTTCCGCTATCCGTCCTCCCAAGTTACAACTATCATTATTTGATGGATCTGAGCCTTTGGATTGGATTTTCCAGGCTGAACAGTTCTTTTTGTTTTATCAAGTGCCTTGGGAACAACGAATTCCTATGGTAGCTTTCTATATGAAAGGCGAAGCCTTGAGTTGGTTCAAATGGATGTATTCTTTGAATCAATTGGGGGATTGGACATGTTTTAGTCGAGCGCTCGAACTACGATTTGGACCATCTACGTATGAAAATCATCAAGGTACATTATTCAAACTCAAACAATCTGGATCTGTGGGTGAATATCAGGCCTCTTTTGAAAAATTGTGTAACAAAATTGTTGGCTTATCCCATGAAAATTTGTTGAATTGTTTCCTGTCGGGCTTAAGCCCACCCATTGAGCGTGAGCTCAAAATCCTCAAACCCGGCACCCTGACACAGGCTATTGGCATGGCTAAACTAGTGGAGGAAAAATTATCCGACACTAAGCCTAAATTCTCTCGCCCACACCTCCCCACCTCCACGCCCTCCCATCACATCCAAGCTTCCAACTCTACCAAATTACCCGCGCCCCCAGATCCTACCCAAACTACCTCCACCACTACCCCAAAAATTCCCATAAAAAAATTATCCATGCAACAAATGCAAGAACGTCGAGCCTTGGGACTTTGTTATAACTGTGATGAAAAATTTATGCCCGGCCACCGATGTACCACCCCCAAATTCTTACTTCTTTTGTGTGAGGAGGAAACCGACACCTGCCCGTTCCTTATTGACACGCCCCCCGCCGATTCTCCTTCTCAGAACACCATGGGCTCACATTTTCATCTATCTACGTCTGCACTTACGGGGCAACCATCCGCCCAAACATTAAAATTT